TTAATTCAATAAATTCTGTGATTTTCAATAGTATTTATGCATAACAATTGAGACCAAACGAGATGTTATGCAAGTATTCAATGTTTTATTATATTGATGTCATTATATTATATTTGTTTATATCATATAAATTAATAGTGGTATAAAAATTGTTAGATATGAACGCAAGTTATTATTAACTAAATCATATTTATAGCATTAATATGAAAAATATATACTAAATTATTGCATTATATCCTGAATTTTATATTATTCCCTATTAATATTCCCTATTGATATTATCTCTGTTTAAATCAAATAAATAATTGGTTTAGTTTATAACAAAAGTCCATTCAATTTACAACAATAAAACTTATTTTCATTTAATATACAGGCGCTCAAAGTAGTAGTGAAATACTGAAATCCTTGACAATGCCGAAACCTGCATAGTTCATTGCATTACAACATTATTGATACATAGTCATTATTCTATGCAAGTTTCGGCATTGTCAAGGATTTCAGTATTTTACTACTACTTTGCCCGCCTATAATTTAATACATGAAAAATGTGTTGGAAATTAAAAATTGTTTATTTGTGTTTGCATTTGGAAATGAAAAGCCAACAAACGATATAGTTTTAAAAAAATACTGTATATATAATGTTTTAAATCATTAAATATTAGAAAATCGCGAATGACGTAAATGAAGAGTATTAGCAAAAGACAAAACATTGTGTGAATATTATGTCCAAAAATGAGTTTATATTCAATGAATGAGAGAGAGAGTGTGTGTATGTGTAGTGTTGACCCCATTTCCGTATATAACTGTATATATTCTGTACATATATTGCTATAATATATATGCGAATAATTGGTCTCTTTTTCAGATGAATTGTTCGCAAACTCCTCTCTCATCCCATCTTTCCATACAATCCATTGAGTTATTGAACTCATGGTATTTTCGAGGATCTGTTCACTTGTGTTCACACAAACTCCTCATAGTCTCGATGGGCATGACGTGTGGCGGACGTCATCCAGAGTGCACTTTAAAGGGTAGTTGTGTTTATTGTATGGAGAGTGACCTACTTTGCCCTACTTTCTACATTATTTCACCAATCTCATTTATAAATATATATACATCACATGCCAGTCTTCTCTAACCACTGTTTATATAATGCTTATAATACATACATATAATAATAATAGTAATTGTAATTCATTAAAATAAATTATTTTCAACTAAACGAAATGAACAGCAAAAATATTTGAGAGAATATATGTATATATGTGTTGAATGATAAGTCCTAACCATTTCATGACACCCCTCGATATGGTGTGCATTGACGTCAGGCCCCCGAAGGACGTCGTCTTCACAATCCAGCAATTGCTGAATCTTTTATATCAAACATTTGTCTCTAGTATTGCTTTAGTATAAAAACTAATTAATAAGTCCTTTCTTATAAGAAATGAAATAATTGGCAATTTTTGAGTTCAAAAAAAGCATTGGATTACTTATGCAGAAATCTGGAGGACTGCATCTCTCCTATGATGACGTCTGATGTGTGCA